TTGATCCTGCAGGATGTCCATCATGTACCAGACATTAGGAGAAATTTAATTAGCGGATCTTTATTAGTGCAACAAGGTTACAAACATATTTTTGAATCAAATAAAGTTGTAATAACTAGTGTTTGGTAACCAAAGTGTTTCTTTTTGTAGTGTTTTTTTAAAAAACATCACACCATGGTGTTTATTTTTCAAACGTGTTTTCAAAACACCATTTATAGTTATTATTTATATAGCGACGGCGGCGGAAGGCGCGGCGGCCCGCCGGCGGGCGACGACTCAGCGACGACCGACGACGACTTACGGCCGACGAGCGGCGGGACAGACGACCACTCGAGCGGTGCTCGCGGCGTTGTCGCGACCGGCGGCGACGATGGCCCGGCGACGGCAGGCGGCGGCGGCGGACGGCCGACCGGCAGCCGGCAGGCGGCGACGGCGGCGGCGCGGGCGGGCGGCGACAGAGCGCCGCGGCGGCAGGCGGCGGGGCAGCGCGACCGACGACGGCAGCAGTGGCAGCGACCACGCGGCGGCTAGCGGTGGCGGCGAGGCGGGTGGCAGCAATGGCGGCCGGGTGGTGACGGGCGGAACAAGCGGACGACCGACAGCTGCGTCGGCGGGCGGCGAAACGCCAGCGAGCGCAGCGGCGGGCGCGGCGGGACGGCGACGGGCAGCCCGGCTTAGATGAAAAAACGGAGCAGCGGACGGCGGACGACGACCGAACGGGGCACCGCGGGAGAGCGACGGCGACGGACGCGGAGGGCGCGCAGCGGCGGGTGGTGCGGTGGGCCGGCGAAAGCCGACGCAGCAGCCAGTGGCTCGAGACGGGCGGCGTCGACGGCGGTGGCTTTCAAATGAAAAAACAGAATCTCAAAATACCTTTTTGGTGTTTTAAGAAAAGTATTTTTTTTTTGGATTTTGTAAAGGGTCAAGACAAAAAATCGCCCCTGTTGCCAAACAAGTTTCATTGTTTTTTAAAAAACAAAAACGAAACTGGCAAAGGTTTTTTATGTGATGGTCTTTTTAAATTGAATGTTATGAATTCTACTCTTGCATCTCCAATAGCTTTGAATATCGAACCTTCTATCACTTTGCATCAAAGATTAGGACATGTGAATTATAATTTAATTAAAAGATTGATGCATCTCAATATAATTCCAAAGCTTAATATAAAAGATGATGAAAAATGTGAAATATGTGTAGAAGCCAAACTTCCTAAGAAACCATTTAAAACTATTGATAGAGATTCTGAGATATTAGATGGAATTTTTATTGGCTATGCTTCTGATAGTAATGCAAATAGATTTTTAATAATCAACTCTGACATTAATGAGATAGCCAACAACACCATAATTGAAGCTAGGGATGCACATTACTTTAAAAACATTTTTCCTTACAAGACCAGAGTAAACAACACAGACCCTAGCTCTAGTAATTCAGACTTTAGTTCTAACCAAGGTGAAACTAGTTCTAAACAAATTAGGCCACTGGAATGTCCAGAGGAGCCTAGGAGAAGTAAAAGAACTAGAATAGAAAAGGTCCATGAAGATTTCTATGCATTACTTGTAGAAGATTCTCCAATTACATTTGAGGATGCAATGAAATCAGTAGATGCTCCATTTTGGAAGGAAGCTATAAATAATGAGATTCAATCTATAGTTCAAAATCATACTTGGGAACTCACTGATCTTCCTCCAGGATGTAAAACTATAGAATGTAAATGGGTGTTTAAGAAGAAACTTAGACCTGATGGAAAAATAGATAAATATAAAGCCAGATTAGTAGCTAAAGGATATACCCAAAAGTCTGGTATTGATTATTTTGATGTCTATTCTCCAGTAGCTAGGATTACTACCATTAGAGTCCTCATAGCTCTAGCATCCATACACAAATTAATAATACATCAAATGGATGTTAAAACTGCATTTTTAAATGGAGACTTAGATGAAGAAATCTATATGGATCAACCTGAGGGATTTATAGCTTCTGGACAAGAAAAGAAAGTATGCAAGCTTATTAGATCACTATATGGTCTCAAACAAGCCCCAAAACAATGGCATATGAAATTTGATGAAATTATACTATCTTATGGATTTGTAATTAATCAAACAGATGAGTGTGTATATCATAAAATAGATAAAAACAACAAAATTGTGATATTATGCCTATATGTTGATGACATTCTTATTTTTGGTTCTGACATACAAATCATAAATGATATCAAACACTTTTTATCACAAAATTTTGACATGAAAGATTTAGGTCAAGCTGACCTAATTCTTAATACTAAAATCATGAAAAATGAGAATGGATATGTGCTATCACAATCACACTACATAGAGAAAATCCTTAAGAATTTTTATGATCCAAACTGTCAACCTGTTTCCACTCCATATGATCCTAATGTACATCTAAAGAAAAATACAGGTCATCCTCAATTACAAAGAGAATATGCACAAATAATTGGATCATTAGGATTTCTAACAAACTACACAAGACCTGACATTGCTTATGCAGTAAATAGACTTAGTAGATATACATCAAATCCTGATAAGGGTCATTAGGATGCTCTAGAAAGAGTTCTGAGATATCTAAAAGGAACTATGAATTATGGTTTACACTATAAAGGTTATCCATCTGTACTAGAAGGTTATTCAGATGCAAAATGGATTAGTGACTCAGTAGATGTAAAATCCACCACTGGTTTTGTGTTCCTTTTAGGAGGAGGGGCTATGTCCTGGAAATCTACTAAACAAACTGTAATGGCTAGAAGTACAATGGAATCAGAAATGATAGCTCTTGATACTACTAGTATAGAAGCTGAATGGTTGAAAGATTTACTAACTGAAATTCCACTAATGCAAAAACCATTACCAGCCATTTCTATTCATTGTGATTGCAGGTCAGCGATTGACAAATGCCATCAAGAGAATGCAAATGTGAAGATGAATCGACACTTGAAAGTGCGACATAAATCCTTGAGATATAAGATGAAAAACCATATAATAGCCTTAGATTTTGTAAGATCAGAGAAAAATCTTGCAGATCACTTAACTAAAGGCTTATCTAGGGCAGTGGTCCTAGAATCATCGAGGGGGATGGGGTTAAGCCCATAAGAAAAATCACTGTAGTGGCAACCCAACCTCGCAGAGGTTCAATGGGTAGAAACAATTTGAATGAGTGATTAATTGTGAGGAGCACTGAATTTATTTGCTCATATCCCTAGGGTTATCAGTGCTCATAAAAAGCAAGTAAAAGGTTGAGTTAAACTCTTAATGAATCCAAGACCCATGAGGCAGGATGCTTACTTGCTCGCATCCTTATTAGGATTCACCTATGTGTGTAGTTGTGAGGTCGCGATTATGGGATCAGGGCTGCTCCCTAGTAACACACATGAAAGATACCTGTGCAAGGCCGATAATAGCGTAACCCGTTTAGAAATCTTCAAAACTGTACTATGTGTGTTTTCTGTAGAAATCCGATAAATGGGACTGGTTCAAGGCGTAGTCCATCAAGCTCTCGCGGATCTATACAACTGTCACTAAGTGAAGGTTCAAACCGAAAGGTACCTCCACCTATTACATAGTATAAGGGAACCAGGAATCTTATTTATTTATTTTTATTTTACTCTTAGTTCTGAGTTATTTTAAGTTTTAAGTTATGTGGGGGATTGTTGGAGTTGTAACTTAAAACTTGGGTTTGTAGAGAAAAAGAGGAAAATTTTAGTCCCACATTGAAAAAAAGATGGGAAGATAAGCTCTTTATAAGCCTTCCCTTTCTCTTCTATGCCTAGAAGAAAATAAAGGTTATGCTCAACACCACACGCGCGCGCCGGCCGGGCCGGGCTCGGGCTTGGGTTCGGGTCGGGTGGCGCGCGCACACGACCTGCGGACACGAATGCAGCTCCGGATTAATGGGTTCTTAATCTGCTACATTTTTATTTTTGAACAATTAAAATGTGATAAATATTTTGTAACGGTTAGGATTAAATATTTTGTAACTGCTATAATTAAAATACCGCGGATTTATGGATCTAAATGACAGTAAACGGCTAACATTAATACATTAATGGGCGAGTAATTAAAACGTGTTAATTGTGGGATTTATGAATAACGGCTATTTAACCCTATAAAAGGACCTAAACCCAAAGAGTTTTACACAATGAAAACGCAAATTCTCCTCTTCTTCTCTGTTCTTTTCTTCCTCTTACGTTTACTTGCTATTACATTTTGTTGGTTCCTTGAAAGTCTTGAAGAGTTCGCAAAGCCTTCTTGAAGCTCGTGCCAACGAGAAGGAGGTCGCCTGACCGAGGATCGTTGTATCTCCAAGAACCTTTACCGCGTAACCCTGTACGAGAAGGGGCAATTAGATTCTTAGGACAGTACGTTGCACGCCTCGACCATCAGGCCGTATTTCTAACTCCATTTTTTTTGTTTGAATTAATTTCATTTCTGAATTATAATATTTCTCTGATATTATCTGATTTAATTATCAACTGTTTTAAACTAAAGTTCGTGCTAATTATTGTCTAAACAGCTCATATTCCCAACATTACTATGAAAACATCCTAGTATAAATGATGCAGACGATCAATTCTGAAGTTACTCAGCAAAAGTTTTTTCCCCTTCGTTATCTTTGCTTACAAGGAGTTGATCCAGAACTCAATTCGACCCACCATAGTCTGCATAATCATCTTTGTATTCTGAACCAACCCATGTTTTCCCAGAATTTTCGTGGTTTTGTTCTGCAACAGTTTAGTCCAATTTTGAGAGTACTGTTTGTGATATAGATAAAATTATTCGCAGAAAAGAATACTGACAAATGTCAACGCTATAGCATACTGCAAGACTGTAAAGATCACGTCACGCATTAAAGCTTCGCCCAAGGACTATAATTAAAAGAAAGAACAGGAACTAGTTATCAATGATCAGACATCGAAAGAAACCGTTTTGTTTATTCAGAATTAAAAGGTTGAATATGCATAGGCCTAAATTCTCCTGCTGACAAGGATCAAACTATTGTGCTCCCGTTTGCCTCAACAATGACCAGTTATTCCTTGCTACATCGGCTTCCAAATTTGACAGAACGTGATGGTTCCCTGCGTAGTAAAACCAATATATTGTTAGCATGAAAAATTGAAAGAGAATAACTAGTTTGGAGGTTAAAAATCAAGCTCTCTCTTGTTAATTCTAAAAACTAGTTCTCATGTGAGATCCATGACCGCATCACAATCAGCTATATTCACTATAACGTTTTGTTAAGAGTACTGTATATCATGATTCCTAAGATCTATTTAATTGATAAGTAGGACATGTATGTTTATTTGAATGAAAAGGCATATTGCGAAAAAAAAAATTATCTACACTGTCTAAAATGTAATCATCTCAAATAGATGTAAAATTTAGAGTACTAAATGACCTGCTGATATATTGATTAGTACCTGATTGTATTATTTTATCGACGGCATTCCACAAGTGTAAATACTGGCTTTCCATTGAGCCTACATCTACCCTATAAATAAGATACCAAACAAGTAATTAAAAATGCACAAAATGATTAATAAACATACAGAAAAGAAAACACAATAACTCTCTCAAAACAAAACAAAAAACATTATAACGGGTTTTGTATTATGAATGCATTTAAGAAATCAAAAAAACCATTAAACCCCTAGGAACTGTCCATATTAGTCATGAATACTTGAGAAGGCAAGAAACGTTACAACATGAGTTGTCATATGCATAACAGCGTCCACGACATACTAGATATGCAGACCATTACAAGAAACATGGATACGATAGCTGAGAAAGTTTGTTATGTTAGGATGAGTGTTAGAAATCACGCAAAGAGAACATAATTGCAAGAAGAGAGGCTTCAAGAGATGATATGCCAATGTAATCACCTAACTTCAATAATGCTTAACGAGAAAATTTATCACGAACGGGGAAATGATGATGTGAACTCTGCACGACAATGATATGGTATTTGATACTATCACCATAATGCCACAACCAATATTTTTAGATAAATTAGTATGACTTAGAAACAAACTAAGCCATGCCAAACAAGAAAAATAAAACCAATATTACGACACTTAAACAACTTAATCCAAGAACCAGGACATAAAAGATTATAATAATCAGCACAAACAGTAAGAAAACAAATAACACCAATTATATTGGCAGTTTCCGGGTTCATGGTTCTCATTCATATTTCTCTAGTATACTCCTAACTGTAGACGCAGCTTATAAATAGCTTTCTCAAAATTTATAAGCAATTCTTTTTCAATCCACATGCTGTGTTTTTTCCCTCTTGCGAATAAATCTACATAATCTTTCTAAATTTTCTAGGCCCCCACTTTGGGTTGGCATAGATGAGACTAAATATCACATCATGATTAAATCTGCGTTAAACTGGCAATTTGATGTAAGCAACTGACTACTGAAACTAGTTTTTGAACTGTAATTCTGCCATTGATGGTGGAATCTCAATAAAATGTTGAAGGAAGACAGAAAAATTAAAAGAAAAATATTATGAAAAAGTATAAAAATAAAGATATATTTTCACCCCACTTTTTCATAGCCTTTGTAGTAAGGAACTTAGAGAAACTAAATAATGAATATCATACTTACCGTTCAAGCAAAGGGGATCATACTCAGGAATTTGTGAAAGCTAACTTTTTCTCTTGATTGAGGTTCAAGTTTTTCAGTCCAAAACTAACTTGAGATTACAAGTGAAAAAAAAAACGTGTTTTGAAGTGGAAATTAAGAATGACAGACCATAGAGTAAATAGACGATGGTCCAGAAATCATTTAGATGAAGATTGGTGGGTACCAACTCAAACTCCAAGTCGGGTGCGAGTTTGAAGGCTAGACCTAATCCTAATAGTTTTCTTAGAGGCCAAGTTAAATTGGCAGGCAAGTCAGAGGTGTCTTTAAATAAAACGTCCTATTTAGGGTTTCAGAATAGAGAGAATGAGACAGACAATATTCTTGTAATCAGAGTTTTAGAGGTGTAACCGGCTTCAAGGGTATTATGAGAGAGGGGGTTTGGAAGTCCTTGTCTGTGCAGAAGATTGTAATTTGAAGGTGATAGTGGATTAATTTTGATCCCGTGGCTTTTCCCTATTAAGGATTTTTCACGTTAAATCTCGTGTGATTATATTTACTACGTTTAGTGATTTTTGGGGTTTTTGCGAGATCTAAAAATCCCAACAAGTGGTATCAGAACGGGGTTGGACAGTTCGTGGAGGTTTGACCGGTGTGCAATTGGTGAACGCATCAGCGGTCGAAGCGCGGTGATCAACATCGAGGGAATAAAAAAAAGTCACTGCAGCAGGGAATATTGTAGCGGCGGCGGGAACACTCTTCACGTGGGTGAGGGTTTGCTTACAAACGATTAAATCAAATCCGACAGTGCAGATTGATTTGTCTTTTGATCAATGATTTAAAGGCGGATTTTGGTGATCCAAGGGTCATTCCTAGGATTTTTCGACGTGCTGAGTTCGTTTTTAATGTTGGTTTTATCAAATTCAATCCCTGCAGTGACTGATTTGAATTTTGATTGTGCTTGAGGATGATGATTTTTTCGGGTTCGAAGTTTGATATTCCGCTATTCAATGACAAGACAAATTTTACAGTATGACAGTGTACGGTTCAAGATATTTTTATACAGTAGGGTGTTGATCAAGCTTTGGAGAAGAAACCTGAAGGATAGAATGATGTTGAATAAAGTTCCATACAAAAGAGGGCGGTTAGCACAATTCGTCTAGCACTCACCCCCGAGATTAAGTACAATGTTATGCAAGAGATCACACCAAGGGGCTGTGGGGAAGGCTCGAGAGGATTTATGAGTCGAAATCGATGACCAACCGATTATGTTTGAGGATGAAGCTTTATTTATTGAATATGGAAGAAGGTACTGTAACTCAAGACCACATCAATGTCTTTAATCAGCTAGTTTGCCAATTTATGAATATTGATGAGGAGATTAAAGAAGAAGAGCATACACTACTCCTATTGTCTTCCTTACCGAAGTCGTACAAGCCATTAGTTTAGATGATAATTATAGGAAAACAGACTTTGAAGTTTGACGATATGACAGTACTCCTACGTGAAAATGAAAGAATAATGGGAAAAAAGCACATCTAATAATGGTAAGAGTGCACTAGATTCTGAAGGTTTTAATAGAGGGAGGAATAAGGGGAGATGTGACAGTTATCGAGAAAGATCAAAATCTCGATCCCGAGACGACAAGCGAAAGGGAGTGCTATTATTGTGGAGAGAAGGGTCACATTCAGTTCAGATGTTTCCAGATGCGAGATGATTTAAAGAAAATTAGACAGATGAATCTTCAATAAAATGGAAAGAAGACGGACTCATCGGTGGTTGAGTGATAAAGACGTGGTGTTGTTGATGCAGAGTACAAATACTGATGCAAGTAACACTTGGGTGTTAGATTCTGTAACCTCTATGCACGTTTGTAACAACAAAAATTATTTTAACATATTGAAGACAGATGAATAATTTGACGACATGATTGTTGAAAACAACGAGAAGATGAAGGTTGAAGGCGTTGGAAGTGTTCACCTCAAGATTCACACTGAGAAAGTGGGAATTCTTCATCATGTGAGATATGTGCCGTCATGTGGTGCTAATTTAATTTCGTTGGGTGAGATGACATCGCATGGATACAAGTATGTGAGTAAAAGAGTGGTACAAAGTATATAAAGATGGTGATTGAATTTTACGAGGAAGGAATGTTGTGCGCCGCGGAAGCCCTAAATTGACAAATCGAAGGCACACACAAGATATACGTGGTTCGGCAATATGCCTACGTCCACGGGGCAAGGAGAGGGAAGCTTTACTATTCAAATCAAAGGGGAGTACAAGTTAGGGTTACAAATCTTACCCAAAAACCCTCAAATAAGACCAAAAGATCTCTCAAATAGACTCCAACAATAGAAGCCCTCAAATCTCCCTTTGCTCAGCTCAAAATCGCCCAAACTCTGACCCTAAAAACGAGTTTAGGGTATTTATACAACTCCCAAGCGAAACGGGTCTGGAAACCTGAACCAACTGAAACCCGCTTCGTCGGTCGACCGGGTCGGTCGACCGCGATCAATTCCGGTCGACCGACCCGGTCCCACCTCGGCGAACGTTTATCCCAAAACTGAGCCGACACCAAAACACCCCCAATCAACTTCAACCGGCTGCATCTGCAAGACTGCCTACGTATCCTCTTGCCCAAGGAATCAAGCCGAACGTAGTTCATCCAAATGGCCGCCAACGGCCTCAACAACGAAGAATGTTCAATAAATTCAAACAGTGACCAAACTTCACACCTGGTACAACTTTGGTCAACATATCAGCAGGGTTATCCTTAGTGTGGACCTTCTCCAACGTGACATCACCATCATCCAATACGTCACGTACAAAATGAAATCTGACATCAATGTGCTTCGTGCGAGCATGGTAGACTTGGTTCTTCGCCAAATAGATAGCTGACATACTATCACAATGTACCTGAATGGTCTCCTGTGCAATCCCCAAATCATCCAACAAGCCATGTAGCCACAAAGCCTCCTTCACTGCTTCAGTCACCGCCATATATTCCGCCTCCGTAGTAGAAAGCGCCACTGTAGACTGAAGAGTGCATCGCCAACACACCGGTGCACTAGCCAATGTAAAAACATAACCTGTAGTGGACCGACGCTTATCAAGATCTCCAGCATAGTCAGAATCCACGTAGCCAACACAATCCTGCCCTGTCTCATCATTCTTCGCAAATATCAACCCAACATCCACGGTACCCTTAATATACCGTAGAATCCACTTCACGGCCTCCCAATGCCCCTTCCCGGGGTTGTGCATGTACCTAGATACCATGCTCACAGCCTGTGACAAATCTGGCCTCGTACACACCATAGCATACATCAAGCTACCCACTGCGCTGGCGTATGGAACCTTGGACATGTAGTCCCTATCCTCCACTGAAACTGGTGACATCAAAGCTGAAAGCTTAAAGTGGGGAGCTAATGGAGTACTCACCACCTTGGTATTACCCTCAAAGCTGAATTTCTTCAGCATCTTTTGCAAGTAACTCCTCTGTGTAAGCTTTAATCTCCCCTTCACCCTGTCTCGCTCAATCTCCATACCAAGTATCTTCTTAGCCTCTCCCAGATCCTTCATCTCAAACTCAGATGACAACTCCTTTTTCAGTTTCCCAATAGCTGAAGTGTTCCTGGAAGCTATGAGCATATCATCAACATACAATAACAAATAAATATGCTCACCATCCTGTAGCTTGCGCATATAAACACACGGGTCATAAGGGCTCCTCGTGTATCCTCGGCCAATCATAAAGCTATCAAATCTCTTATACCACTGTCGCGGTGATTGCTTCAGTGTAGCTTGCGCATATAAACACACGGGTCATAAGGGCTCCTCGTGTATCCTCGGCCAATCATAAAGCTATCAAATCTCTTATACCACTGTCGCGGTGATTGCTTCAGTCCATACAGAGATTTTCTCAATTTGCACACCAAATCTTCTCTTCCTGCAGCTTTAAACCCCATTGGTTGTGTCATGTAGATCTCCTCATCTAAATCTCCATGTAGAAAGGCCGTCTTCACGTCCATTTGGACCAAATCTAAGTCCAGTTGTGCCACCAAAGCCAATAGTATCCGAATAGATGAATGTTTCACAACGGGTGAGAACACCTCGTTGTAATCAACACCCTCAAGCTGTGCATATCCCTTGGCAACCAATCTGGCCTTGAATCGAATGTCCCCAATAGAAGATCCCTCTTTCTTAGCATACACCCACTTGCAACCAATAGCTTTCTTACCCTTCGGTAGCTTTGCAAGTTTCCAAGTGTCGTTCTTCTGAAGAGATTGCATCTCCTCCTTCATAGCATTCCTCCACCTAATGGAATCAGGGCTGGACTCTGCCTCCCTGAATGTGGCAGGAATCAAATCATCAACGACCTCCACCGATAAAGCATATGCCACCATGACATCATCATATCTAGCTGGCCGACGAATCTCTCTCCTCGGTCTGTCTGCTGCAATAGACCCCTGAGCATGACCCTGCTCCTGAGTCTCACCATCCACTGTATCCTCCTCATGCCCGACTGTCATCTCATCTCCTTCATGTGTCACCTCTGTAGGAGTCTCAATAGGAACAGTGCTAACTGGAGTGGGTGGAGTCACATCATACTCCACCTGCTGCGATATCCTCTCTGTCTGATCTTCCTCCACCTGCTGAGGAACTCGAGGCTTCATCATGTATGCCTCATCGAATGTGACATCTCTGCTAATGATCATCTTCTTATCTTGTGGATCCCATAACTTGAAGCCTTTTACACCTTCTCTAAATCCCACAAAGATAGCCTTCCTCGCTCTCGGATTCAACTTCCCATCACTAACATGGAAATAAACTGGACACCCAAAAATCCGAAGAGTCTCATAATCACTAGCCACAGTACCAGACCAACGCTCCAAGGGAGTCTTCCCCTCTATCGCAGTGCACGGCAACCTGTTAATGAGATGGCTCGCATAAACTAACGCCTCGGCCCAAAAGGATCTAGCCAAACCACTCTGCGTCATCATACATCGCACCTTCTCCAGCAAGGTACGGTTCAGCCTCTCTGCCACCCCATTCTGTTGCGGTGTCTCTCTAACTGTGAAGTGTCTTCTAATGCCGTGATCCCGGCAAAACTGCAGAAATGGATCACTCTTATACTCTCCACCATTGTCTGAACGAAGAGTCTTCACCTTTCTACCTGTCTGCAGCTCCACTTTCTTCTTCCACTCCACAAATATATCCAGGACCTCATGTTTATGCTTCATGGTATATACCCAATTCCTTCTGGAATAATCATCAATGAAAGTGACGAAATAGTTTGCCCCACCAAGCGATGTGTGCTTAGAAGGGCCCCAAACATCTGTATGAATATAGTCTAATAAGGGCCCCAAACATCTGTGTGAATGTAGTCTAATATACCTTGGGTGTTGTGAATTGCGGTGCCAAACTTCACTTTAGTCTTCTTCCCAAGTATGCAATGCTCACACATATCCATCTTGCAGGTCTTTGCACCTTTCAATAGCCCCTGTTTTGCCAATGACTGAAGGGACTTTTCACCTGTGTGTCCAAGCCTCATGTGCCATAGTGTGGTAGTGTCCTCCTCTGTGGTAATAGAAACTGCCAGACCCCCTGTTACTGTCTTGCCCTTCAAGTAGTATAAGTTGTTTTCCCTGACACCTCGCATCACCACCATAGAACCCTTCATGACCTTCACACTAGCATCTTCTAGGATCACTCTATAACCGGATGCCTCCAAAGTCCCAAGAGAAATGAGGTTCTTCGTCAACTGTGGCACGAACCTCACATCTTTCAATTCCCTAGTCACCCCATCATGCATTCTGATTCTGACTGAGCCAATCCCACTAATAGGACAAACGTGATCGTTCCCCATGAGCACCACGTCTCCTCTCTTCAACTCCTCAAAGTTGGTAAACCAATCCCTCTTGGGGCAAATGTGAAATGTGGCTCCCGAATCAAGCATCCACTCCGAAGAGTCGGCATAACAAACTGACGGCAGTACGGGACAAGAATAACCGGAAGAATCTGAATCTGAAATGTCGCCAACAACCTTAGCAACATTAACCTCTGAAGCTTGTACAGCTTTCCCCCTTTGCTTCCCGGCTCTATCCTTCAACTTTGGGCACTCATTCTTCCAATGTCCCTCTTCTTTGCAAAAGGCACATTGATTTCTACCAACACTTTTATGGCCACCCCTATTCTTTGATTTTGAGCGGTTGAACTTTTGACGATTTGGACTACGGCCACGAACTGCTAATGCATCACCCGATGCCTTCTCAGAGGGCTCACCATCATTCTTCCTCAGCTCATAGTTCACCAATGCCGAGGTTACCTCCTTGTAGCTAACTGTAGTTCGCCCATTTATCATAGTGAGAACAAAAGTACTAAACTCATCATCCGGCAACGAACACAATAGTAACATCGCCTTATCTTCATCTTCCACCATGATATCAACATTGGCCATATCCGAAATAAGCTTTGTAAAGTTATTGACATGCTCCCGAATGGAAACCCCTCTCTTCATCTTGAATTGGTAGAACCTCTTCTTCAAATGAAGCCTATTCTCAATGCTCTTCGTCAAATATTTTTCATTGAGCGTTTCCCACAATCTCTTTGCCGACGTCTCATTCATCACATCATAAATGAGATCCGGCGTTAGGCATGATCGAATAACTCCACAAGCCCTACTGTTCATTTTCTTCCAAACCCTATCATCAATCTCCTCGGGTTTCTCTTGAAATTCAAGAGTCTCCTCCAAATTTTGTGCATCTAAGGCGTCCATTACTTGACACCTCCATAAACCGAAGTTGATCTTGCCGTCGAACTTTGGAACATCAATTTTGGTGTTATTGATGCTCAAATTTTGGATCGCCTTTGTCAAAGCCGACCCCGATGTACTAGTAGCACTTGAACTAGCATTGCTTGTATCACCCATATTGTAGATCTACTCTCCCAACAAGACTCCTATCGATTGCTTTGTATGTTTCGAAGTTTAATATACATTGGTGCTTTGCTTTATTTTTACCTCAAAAAATAAAGAAGCTAAATTGACAAATCGAAGGCACACACAAGACAATAGTAGACCACAAACCAATGCAAGCCAACCAATCACAGCACAAACACAAGATATACGTGGTTCGGCAATATGCCTACGTCCACGGGGCAAGGAGAGGGAAGCTTTACTATTCAAATCAAAGGGGAGTACAAGTTAGGGTTACAAATCTTACCCAAAACCCTCAAATAAGACCAAAAGATCTCTCAAATAGACTCCAACAATAGAAGCCCTCAAATCTCCCTTTGCTCAGCTCAAAATCGCCCAAACTCTAACCCTAAAAACGAGTTTAGGGTATTTATACAACTCCCAAGCGAAACGGGTCTGGAAACCTGAACCAACTGAAACCCGCTTCGTCGGTCGACCGGGTCGGTCGACCGCGATCAATTCCGGTCGACCGACCCGGTCGACCGACCACCTCCAGCAGAACCCCGAAAGAATCCAGAGAGCCGTCGGTTGACCGGTCCGGTCGACCGACCTCCTTGTGCACGAATCCGGTCGACCGGACCAGTCGACCGCCACCTGTTTTTCCTGATTCTGCTGCTGATGCTGAAATTCCTTCAAGGAAGAATAACAATCATATTTGCTATTTAGATGGGCGATCTGTTAATGGTGTAAATGACTCTTTTCATACTCATCCACAAGGGAGAGGTGAAGAACAAGAAGAAGTGAGTTTTTCTAAAACCGTTGAGACACTTGGAGATTTTTCGTCAAGAGAGTATGTTGGGTACCAACTCAAACTCCAAGTCGAATGCAGGCTTGAAAGCTAGGCCCAATCTTAGTAGTTTTCTTAGAGGCCAAGTTAACTTGGCGGGCAAATCATTGGTGTCTTTAAATAAGGTGTCATATTCTAGGGTTTTAGAATAGAGAGAAAGAAAGAGGCAATATTTTTGTAATCTGGGTTTTAGATGGTGTAACCGGGTTCAAGGGTATTGTGAGAGAGAGAGTTCGATAGTCTTTGTCCATACAAAAGATTGTAATTTGGAGATGACAGTGGATTGATTTTGATCCCGTGGTTTTTCCCTATTGAGGATTTTCCACGTTAAATCTCGTGTGATTCTATTTGCTGCATTTGGCGATTTTTACGATTTTTGCGAGATCTAAAAATCCTAACAAAGATTTCCAGAATTACCTTAAACTTAGGTACCCCAATGAGACAAGCACACTCAACCACTTCAGCACCAGCACGCTCTACACCATGAAACAAACAAAAATAACAAATATTAGAGGGGGAAATACATAACGACAGTAAGCGTAACGGAAAAACCATAGAAAAACAATTGAAAGATATTAACTTAAAATCTTGGGAAAAAGCAGTAGAAAACAGAAGGAAAATATGTTTTCTTATGCAAATTTCTAATGCTTAATGGTGGATTCCTGTGAAGATACATACATTATTTTAAATATGCCCGACATGGCCCGATATATCCCCCGATATATTCTTTTGCAGGGCTTGCCGCAACCGATATGGTCTTTAAATATCATTTACCGCTTGTTGGCTATTTTGAGTGATAAATCCCTGATATGACCGATATATTAACCGATATGTGGACTAATATATCTTTTTATATAGCTTATTGTAAAATAATATACCGTGTTTGGAATTTTTGGGCGAGATATCAAGATTTCCCTATTATATCAAATGACATTGCGCCCTAAAAAGCAGATCGAATATTGCAACGTTACTTTGCACTTTTGTTTGTTTTAGAAGGTTGATTAGTGATCCTAAACATATATTATTCATATTTTGTATGCTTAAATTTTATTACATATGTTAAGATTACATTTTAATGCATTATACTATGTATGCAAACATTCATTATGGCATTCCGATATTTACCACATAACCCCGATATTTCCCCGATATTCGTAATCCGATATGAATTTTGGTCATCCGATATTTCCCCGATATCCGATATTTAAAACCTTGGATACATAAGACATGCAATTTGCCCACTCCATGGCAAGAATGTGTTGTTAGCTCTAGGGCAGCTTATTTTATCTATCAAGAACATTCATGTAATTAACTTCAAGCAGGACAGCAATATCTTGGGTGAGGAGAAATCAGACCTCCTAGGAGTTAAACGAGACCAAGCTTATGGGTATTCATCCCTATTTTCTATTTAAGTTCATTACTCTCTAAAGTAAACAAAACATATGGTAGAAAGGAATAATTGTCGAAGTTATCCAACAATTCCAGAGTAAACAAAACATATGGTAGAAAGGAATAAGAACAAATATTCTTATTTCATAAAAAACAACAAAGCGAACTCACCTAGAAGTCTCATTGCAGCACATAGTGTTCCCCCAGTAGCCACCAAATCATCTACAACTATTACGCGTTCTTGAGGTTCGATGGCTCCCACATGCATTTCCAAACAATCAGTGCCGTATTCGAGCTCATAAGCTTCTGAAATAACTTCACCTGTATGTTCTTTTGAATTGTTAGTTGCTAAACAACTAAAGGATGACGCTGCTATGGATAAAGAAATACACGTTTCTGAGAAAATAAAATGACTACAAGGATGACGCTGCTATGGATAAAGAAATACACGTTTCTGAGAAAATAAAATGACTACATCTTTGATATTGCACAATTCCAAGATAATTCGACCTATGTCTTTTTTAAATAATTTTGCACAGGATCTATATACCAAAAAATGAAATTTTGCACCTTTTCCCATGAAGTGATGATAGTTCACTTTATTATCCTGATATCTTTGTTTGATAATTTTATAAAACTAAATCTGACAACAGAATTTTACAATAACCATTTTCATCCCTTCCATCTACTACTAATTTCCAGCAAGTCTTCCATTATTAGTTCTCTCTGATAACTTCCATCAATCCAAATCAGTTATTGAGTTCGCTCATATGGAACTGCAGATGAGCCACATAGTTTAGGTATGGGTCAAGAGAAGTTTTAAAGCAACAGAAGTTAGCGACAAACCATTACAGATACCGTATGAATAATGTTTACAAACTATTCCAATATGAGCTGACCCTACAAACTTTTCCCCCTATTAAAATAGTAACTAATGATATAGAGAAAAGTACAAACCAAGAAATCAAGATATCAAAGTTATTAAAAAATTGTCTTATGATCTGGTCAGGAGTAACATAATTTATCATGAAGAAAAAAATATGATCCTGAAATGAAGAAAGACTATCATCAGGTACATTAAGGTCAAAAGTCGCCGCTTTAAAATCAGCTTAGTTAACCGTCCTTAGAGTCTAGGTAAACTATGAAGTGGCAAACAAGATGCTAGGAAAGTTATCAAAAAAACGTCTCTTCCAAAAGAAATATAGCGAATTCCTAATGTCACTAAGGTCAGATATTAGTACTTTAAACCCACATAGCTACAGTGGACATAATCATAGAAACATGATGGATATGGTAAGATAATAAAAGCAAACAGAAAATTAAAATTACTTCCATCAGAAGATAGTGAACCCATTAGTTTGAAAAATTCATACCTGGCAATTTTCTAGGCTTGCGTAGCGGTAAAAACTTTGCACCAATAGCTAAAGCAATTGGAGGGCCAAATATGAATCCTCTTGCTTCGATACCTGATATGAATCAATCGAGTACATTAATAGCTTAAACAACAAATAGAAAGTTTAAAAATGAGCTTCAGCTTCAAAATAGCTAATTGGCAGAAACAAACTGATTCCTCAAGAACTTGAAAGACATAAATATACTGGACCACCTCTTATCCCTCTTGGAATTCGACAGCACTTAATAAATCAGTTTCACATAGTTCTAGCGAAAAGGATGTGTTTCTACTAGTAAAATGTGGCTCTCTTCCAACAGATTAAAGTGAGTATGCTACAGTGTAAGCACTAACTTGGGGGAGAACAAAATCAAACTAGAGACAACAAAATCAACAAAGAGAAAAAACAACGGAAAACAAAATCAAGATCCTCTATCTTCATTCCTCAGTCAAAAGAGAATTCATTAAAGCATGTAAAATCAGTCAGTTATGTTCCCCAACAGAATAAAATTATGCATGTCCCACAATATATACACACCTATTCAGTGGTTATGGCTACAGATACAAATGCTAAAGAAAGGTATGATAATGCGGTATAGAGTGTGTAACAGAAGTCAATTTACTTTATTTATAGTAAGAGAATAAAGAATAGATGGAAATCTTACAACCTAGTAAGAATCTACATCGGGTACAGATATCTGAATGCAAACTCTACTTTAGATCATCAACTGTTACCTACTACGTTTCAACCCCATGTCTGAATCCTTTGCTGATGTCAACCCAACCAAACCGACCCGTTATTAACATGTACGGGTTGAGATATATGGGTTCAGCTTGCATATGGGTCGACGCAAACTACCCATTTATTCATCAGGTTAATTCTAGTCAACAATAAATGACCCGTTTAACCCATTAAAGAACCCATTTGATCTTAAATGGGTAACCCTAGCATTGATTCTTTCCCATTCCCTTTAGTATGTTTTACTTGCTTTCTCTTGAGGAACTCAAAGGAGCTCCTTCATTATGACTCGTTGAGATAACTTAAGGGAAAAGTTGATGACTGCAGCTGTGACGAGTAGTAGTGAAGCGTGAGGGCTTTCAAGCTGGTGATTAACCAAGAATCTCCATTGAAGGAGCTCAAACTAAAGAATAGAAGATAGGAATTCTAGGAAAAGTTCTCTCCTTTTCATATGGGGTACTCACTATTCGGTGGTTTGAGAATGAGGTTCGATCTGGATTTGTTAGGATATAAACCTTTAACCCTCAAGCCTCACAATAACATCAGAATTCTAGTGTAGTGGCAGGGTTTTTAAGATGGTAACACTAACTACATATTTAATATGAATTTAAAAAAAAATTATACTAATACCTAGAGTTCAGGTTCCAACCCATAAAAAGGACACTCAACCTATTGGAGCATGTTAGAATATAAAACTATAAGCCTCAACCTTTACCATAACTTTGGAGTTTTATTCTAGTGGTGAGGTTTGAGGGTTATAGTTTAACATGATTATTTAGGTCTGAAATTGCAGAGGATAACCGCTAAGCCACTGTTGAAGACGAGCTTCTTTATTCAATACAAGCTTCATGTTGATTTACATAAGAGTAATGCAATAGAAAGCTCGCTTTGTTTAGCTTAACATCGTGATTATTGAGCCATTCTCCCTCATTGACTAAATTTTCTTGCATTTATATTTGATTAGATTTGCTTAGCATAAAGATGAAACAGTAATCATGTGGTAAGATTCTGCATTAGCACTTGTTTCTCTTCTTTTATTCTTTTGGCAGTTTGTGAGTTTTACTCCCTTGGGTCTAAATTATGTTTAGAGTTTTTCCACAAATATGACTTCAGAATTGATGACATGCTTAGAAGCATACAAATTTGCAGTAATTACAATTGGTATCATCACATTACACGATTCACACAGATCAGGTGAAGGTAACCTATTTAATAAGTGGGTCGAGTCATCCAACCTGCTTATTAAATGGGTTGGGTCAAGCTTACATGGATCAATCAACTTTGACCCCAACGGAGTTTGGCCTGACCTGCCCATTTGACACCCCTATTGTACTGTTATATGAATTTTCTTTTCTTATCTCATGTGCATCGTTGATTTAGAAAGCTACTTAACCACTTAGAATAATTCCTTACCAGGTTGATTGAGGATGTTCATCTGTTTCATGCGTGCACTTTGTCATATGCATTATTTCTTTTTCCTCGGTAGCTTCATCTATAATTCTATACACGTTGTTCAATACTGAGTATTATCCAATATCTTTCCTGATATGTTCTGCCTCAGACACCAAGCCCAATCCTATTTGATTTGAGGAGCCACTTAAATTAGAAAGCTAATATTATTTGGTTGCCTATTTCAGTTGGATTCTAATTTAAGAGAAAGAAATAAGAAGAAACGGATTATGGGGAAAAAACAATGAAGGTGCAAGAGTTGTACATATCTGTGAGCAAAGGGTTTACTTCTCTCTCTTAAATCATGTTCCCTACTGAGAAATTCAGTATCATTTACGAGGTTCTTGTGCATAAGACTTGGGGAAGCATATAATTCGAATTTGAAAATTGTTACCTTTGTACTTTTCACAATTATACTGGTGAAAAAAATCTACCCCGGTGCTCAGGAACCTTGGTGGTTTTCCATAACAACGGCGGCTCATGTTCTTATTTGCCTCATAACATTTATTCTAGAACAATTTTGGATCTACTTCTTGAAACATACGAATGAAATCTACGAGTCACAAGGGGAAGAATTTAGAGCATACGGCGAAAAAAGGATCAAGCGGTCGGGAGCTGCTAACCACATTCAATTCGTGCAGAAGAATCCGGCGAAGTTTGAAGGAATGACGTGATTGTTTAACACCGAACAATTATCAAAACATCATAGCAGAGCACATGATCAAGTACTAAAAGAGAACGCTCATCGTACGTTGTTGAATGTAGGCATGGAAAAGGGATTTTGTGGGTGGGGGCATTGAGATTTTTCGAGACTACAGTTTGAAATTGTCCGCATCTATGGTCATGCTTCATGGTATAACCTTTTGGTACTTACTGCAACACCTCCATCATAATAATTATGCCTCGTCACCATCCAAACCCCCCAAGTTCTTCCTTCTTTATGAATTCTGTCGTTACTCGCCCACTTCACTCCACATCATTAACCTATTTTCTCATACAAGATCAAAGGTGAGATGCACTTACTCACCTTTTAGTTCTAATATATAACCCATATATTTCTTTTCACAGTTCACTCGCTACATCTTATAAAGGCTAGATAGAAATTATGGAATTAAATTAATAAAATGATGCAACCAACCATCTATTAGTGCATTTATTTATTTAAGAAAAAAACAACCATAAAAGAAGAAAATAGCTAAACGTAATTAGCTTTACAAAATCAATGAGTTCTGACCCAAATCAGTTAGTCAATGGAAAAAGCTGCGTTCTGCACTCTGGGCTCGAGAATCTAAGGCAGCAACAGCTGGACAACACTTTTAACACTTTTTCTCATCTCAAGATTCTACTAAAAATCATTCATAAAATCCAAAACGAAATATACCTCAATGGCGCACTTTCCAAAAAAGCCCATTTTAAAAGGTAATTAATTACTAGGAATTAAACTAAGTAAGGATTATCTACCTGCAACAGCTGAGATGCCCATGTCTTTGTATCGATCAACAAATATTTCCACTGCATCCTTGAATGCTTTTGGGTGGAGCAACAAAGTGGTTATATCATTAAACATGATACCTGAAAATCAGCAAAATTAAGAAAAATAAATGAAAACCAAAATTCAAAAAAGAAAAAAAATAAACTCCAAGAGAAAGAGCCAAAGGTTACCTTGTTTTGGGAAGTCTGGAACAACTCTGATGGCAGCTGAGATAGCTTGCAGCCTTGGGTCTACTCCATTTTCCTCTTCCAACATTTTTTCCCCTCTTTTTTATTTTTTTAATTTTTTCCTTTTAATTTTCTTTTGTTGGGGATTATTTGAGTTTTGAGTGTGGAGATAGGTGCATATATATATAAGGTATGGGTACCTGTCAATTGGTCTACTAGCCTACCTGCTCTGTTTTTGGTGGAGAAGAGTGTTTTGGTAATTTCCAATGACTTTTTCCCCCCTTTTTATTATTATCATTATTATTATTTATTACTATTACTATTATTTTTTTAATGACAAGTTTGTAAATTAGTGCTGGAGGCAGATACCGGGCGACGCTGGTCCCGACGCCCGAGTGAAGCTTTTGATGAGGGCATGGGAAAGGAGGTGTTTAAATTCTGCTTCTGATCTTGGTTCTTGCTTTGCCTTTTTTGTTCCTCTGTTTACTACTGCTGTTGTCGTTGTAATCCGTGCTTGTGCGTCTGCAGTGGTCAGAAGAGGAGGGCATTGATTGAGCAAATGAGAAAACAGAGATATGAATGGACCTTTCGGGGGCGGCAGAGGATTCGGGAGATCAGAAGTGAGATCCCTCGGATTTGAGACTGGGACCCACTTGTACCCTTCCCCCTGCGGTAAATGCATGTAGTTATAGTTGTGATGTATGCTTGCTTTTGAAGTAGCTTCCTCTGTGGCTGTAAATGACTTTTCTTTGCGGAAGGAATTTTTAAAATAGTCTCAAACTAAATTTTTTTTTAAATCCGGCTCTCGTACGTTTTTATTACAAAAATAGACTTATTTTCTGATTATGTCAGTATCGTGGTCGAAAAGTAGGTCTATTTTTTTAAACGTCTTTCTAATTAGTCGGAGTTGTCAACCCGACTAATTTGGCTGGGAAATTGTAAGTCTAAATTAGTCGAGGTTGACAACCCCGACTAATTAGGAAGTCGTTTAAAAATAATAGACCCACTTTTTGATCACGATGCTGACGTGACCAAAAAGTGATCCGATCCCCTAAAAAATCTCATCCTTTTACTCGGTTGAGTTGATTGGATATTTATAGGAGGATAAGAGGGTGTAACTGACCCCTTAATCCGCTCCTAAGTGGACGAGAATCCCTCAATACGTGGGGAAACGGTTTTGAAGCCGTTCAGCTCATGTTTGAACGAGTCAAACGCCTCAAGCTGGCGTTCTGGAACCAAACTCTGCATCTCAGAATTGAGACGCAGAGTTAGGCATCTGCCTAATGCTAAAACGCAATGACCACATTGCGTTTTGAAGCTGAAACGCAGAGGTCGCTTCTGTGTTTTGAAGCTGAAACGCAGAGGTCGCTTCTGTGTTTATCGAAGAGATTGTAGGTTTGTAACCTCCCCTGTTAAAGCGTTGCAAAGACCATTGTTCTGTAATCTTTGCTTTAGCTATTTTTGAGATGAGAGCTGTCAGATTGTAACTCTCGATGTTGATTGTGAAGCCTATTGAATCAGAGCTTTTCATTGATTGTCGTGCATGTCGTTGAATTGTAATATTTCTCGATCTACGTGAAAATTCTCCAATTGTAGCTTTCGTTTATTGACGTGAATGTCGTCTGATTGTAACTTTCATTATCGAGATGATGCTGTAGAAGTCGTCAAATTGTAACTTCCATCATTGAACTTTGGTAGGGATCGGTTATCTGTTGTGATTTTTAGACAGCCTACAGAATCCCCTCCAAAGTTTTCGAAAGTTCGTGGTTGACTGGGATGAGTTTTCGAAATATTTTGGATCCCAAATTTTTTGGAATGATTGTTCACTCCATCTGTTTTGAGGACATTGTGAATTTGGTTGTCGGAATTTGCTGTACGTTGCAATTCTGCTTCCTGTATTGGCGATTCCTTGCAATCTCTTTTGGTAACGGTTAACCTCATACTCCCGATGAACGTGTAGAAGTAGTTAAGGTAATTCTGATCATCTTAAACCAAACAAGATAACTTTTATGTCTTGATGACAATGAACTTAGTCAAACAAGTAAAGTCCAAGTCATCATCGTTAGATCCATTAGTAGGATTAACTTTTTCCTCTTCTTTGGTAGCAGGAATAACAACATTCTCAGCCGATGCAACAGAAGCGAAAGTAATAGCGAATTTGCTTGGATCTTTGATATACTCCTTCAACTCATATGAAGGTGTATTCATTATCAAAAACACCAGCAAAAAAGATTCTTATAGGTATTTATGAACACCCAACGCGTAGCTGCAGAAGTTAAGTAAAAGAGAGCCGATGATAGCGAAGCCACTATAGAAAAACCAGCTACAAACTTGTTAACGAGGTCTTCTTCGGTGAGGTTAAGCACCTTTGGGCTTTGTTAATCTTGGTTGGAATGTTAAGCCATTTGGAAGGATGAGTTGCGCGACGGATCAAGTTCGATAGTATCAGCATTATTGATTATAACATGTATGTACTCATCCAAGAGGCTGCATAGATTTTTGTCATAGGCTAGTTTCTTCTCGGCTTTCGTCACCTTGATGGCCATTGTTAGCTTCTTTCTAATGATTTGAAGTTGTACGACAGCCCTGTTCGTCGAAATGTTTGTATTGTGGCGTTGAAATGCACAAGTGAATCATGTGCTTGAGATTTGGGATGCAGAGGTGAACTTTGCGTCAGAAGTTCAACCAACTCCAACGCGGACGTAGAGGTCGCGTTTAGGTGGGATTCTTATCTAAAATCTCTTTCCGATTTGACAGCTCATAGTTATCTATAAATAGATCGTTATGGTCAAATCAAGAGTCATTCGACTCTTCTCCGTTCTTCCCTGAACCGTTTAACGAACAACTCTTCGTTTTAACCTTCGATGAATCCTGTTCACCTTCTCCGATCATCCTCATCAATGGCTCCCATGAAGAAGATTGTCTCCCGACCTAGGCCCGCTATCACCACGACTCAAAGTTTGTCGTCGGCTTCGGTTGTTGGCAGCGCTACGGATCAGGCAGATGTGTCGCTATCACAGTTCCCTTTCGTCGGTGGTAAGTATGGACTTTGTGGTTGTAAAACTTACTTCGGCAAGTTCTGAACTTTGAATAACGAGAAAACTCGTTTTAATGATATAACGCAGAGTTGGGACTCTGTCGTTTGGAATTTGAAGCCTGGGGGTTTAACCTCTGCGCTTGAATTTTGTAACGCAGGGCTTGGACTCTGCGTTTGCCTTTTACAATGCAGGATCTGACCTCTACTTTTGAATGTTTTAACGCAGAGTCTGACCTATGCATTTGAATATTACAATGCAGGGTCTGGCCTTTGCGTTTGAATGTTTTAACATAGGGTCTGACCTATATATTTGAATGTTACAACGCAGGGTCTAGCCTCTGCGTTTAAATGGTTTAACATAATATTGGTGTGAAAATTGATATCTTCATTGAGGTATTCATTACAACTTCAATCGTTATAATGAAAATAAAAGATAATCTTTTTATAAGACTCTTACACAATGAAAATGAAAAATTACAACTCTCGTCAAAACAAACACAACGGACGTTTATCACCCGCTGTTTGCGTGAGATCTTTACCTATGCCGGGGACGTTAATATCTATGGACTACCAAGCAATCAGATTAATCCGGAGTTTCTATGATTCACGAAGGAATCAAGAAACCAAAGTAATTATCTCAGCAACAACAAGATAACCACTCTTCTCGAGATCACAGCTAGGTACGATCTCAAGGGAAGAAACCGGGCTATAGATCCGACGAACTCCTCTTCTTTATGTCGAAGAACTCGATCCGATATCCTCCTCCTCTCTAAAATTCATGGCTTTTCAGTCTCTAATTTAGTAGGGCTTCACCAAGGCTCGAGAATTCAAGGTCTGTGCAAATGAAGACCCTAGGGCTGTATTTATAAGCTTCGGGACCTCCATTTTCGGATAAGAACGATCGATTCAATCTTATCCTCAATCATAACTACTTTATCACGTTCTTTGATAATATTAGATTAGTTGGAACAAATCCAAATAGTTAACTATTGAAAACGGCTCAAAACTGCGTTTTTGGGTCTGCGGACACCCGTAATGTCTCCACCAAGGCCTGGGCACCGTTCAGGCGTGCCCTGGTCAAAATCGCTGTATCTTTATCGTCCGAACTTGGAATTATGCGATTTAAAGTTGTGAAAGGGCCTGTAGTCAGCTTCGATCTTTGACTTCTTCGATTTTCAGTCTATTCAATACTTTGATTAATAGTTGAAGTTCTTCCGACACTACGTTTATCGTCTGGCTATCGTCGAAGCCTCGAATCAAAATTGGTGAGTTGGTTTAGGCTCGTATCATTGAGTTGACTTTGAACTGATTATCTCCGTCGTAATGCGTTAACTGGCATTGACCTAGGGCTACGCGTTGACCGCGTTGACCTTAGGGCTTTGCATCGATTGGTGTTGACTGGCGTTGACCTAGGGCTATGCGTTGATCGGCGTTGACCTTAAGGTTTTGCATCGATCGACGTTAATTGGCGTTGACCTAGGGCTACGTGTTGACCGATGTTGACCTTAGGGTTTCACATCGATCAGCGTTGACTTTCATCACAACACGTTGACTGATGTTGACCTAAGGCTATGCGTTGACCGGCGTTGACTTTAGGGTTTCACATCGATCGGCGTTGACTTTCATTGTAACGCGTTGACTGGCATTGACCTCGGGCTACGTGTTGACCGACGTTGACCTTAGGGTTTCGTATCGATCGGCATTGACTAGCCTAGGGCTACACATTGACCTGTGTTAACCTTAGGATTTCACATTGATCGGCATTGAATTTCATCACAACGTGTTGACTGGCGTTGACCTAGGGCTACGCGTTGACCAGCGTTGACCTTAGGGTTACACATCGATCGATGTTGACTTTCATCGTAAGGTGTTGACCTAGGGCTACGCGTCGACCGACGTTGACCTTAGGGTTTCACATCGATCGGTGTTGACTTTCACCGCAACGCGTTGACTGACGCTGACCTAGGGCTACGCATTGACCGGGGTTGACCTTAGGGCTTCGTATCGATTGGCGTTCACTTTTATCGCAACACGTTGACTGGAGTTGACCTAGGGCTACGTGTTGACCATTATTAACCTAAGGGTTATGCATCGATTGATATTGACTTTCATCACAATGCGTTGACCGGCGTTGACTTTCGTCGCAACGCGTTGATCGGTGTCTATACAGTTTATGCTCTT